GCTAACCTTGAACTCACTATAATAGCTTGGATTGACTTCAAACACAGCATTGTCCTGCCTCAGCCTCCTGAGAACTGTGATTGTAGGCATGTGCCACCATGCCTGGCCAATGCATGCCCAGCTCTTTAAATTTTTTTTTGAGACATGATCTCATGAAATTGCTAAGTTGCCTGCCCTGGGCTCAAAGTTATGACCCTCCTGTCATAGCTCCTGGTGACCTGTTGTTCAGAACCTACCATGTCCTGGGGTAAGTCCTTTCCTTCTCTAACCTGCCACTTCCACTTCTGTCAGTAGGATGCAGTGGCTAGGCCTAAGGTCCCACCAGCCATGAAGTCCTGTCCCAGGCTCCTAGAAGGTCTAACCTAAGTCCACTCAGATAATGCCCTCAAAGTAGGCTTAGGGTCTAGGTGCACCTCTTGCTCAGTGGCAAGGCTGGCCCTATTGGTGGGTCTGGGCCTCCCCAGCCTAGCATGTAAATAATTGATCAGATCCTCCCCTTACCTCTTCCATGACATCCCCTCCCCCACTCGACAGCCTCCTCTCCTCCTCTCTCTCTACCCTCTGCAGTGCTCCCCAATCTGCACAGTGCAGAGCCCATTTGTGGGTTCACTGTGGGACTGAAGGAGACTTCAGGCTCTCCTGGTCACCCACGGTTGGGGAATAGTCAGGGAGCAGGAGCTGAGTGGCTATACACATCCTGAAATTTGGAGCAGTTTCACAGAGTCTGCCCTTGTTGCTTGAAGCCTGTGCCCACTGCTCAGCCTTTGCTGGGGAATGCTGGCTGCAGCTTCCTGGCTGTCACAGAACCTGGCAGTGCTGTTTTCTAATCACAGCACTTCCTAAAGCTAGCAGGAAAGCAGTGACCATCCCTGCATCCTCTGGCCGAGGCCCTTTTTCTCCAGCTACCCCAGCTCCAGCTATGACAGGAGGGTCACAACTCTGAGCCCAGGGCAGGCAGCTTAGGGATTTCATGAGATCATGTCTCAAAAAAAAAATTTTTTTTTAAGTGATGGGCGTGGGGGTGGGGGTCTCAGACAAAGTCATCCTGAATCTGTGACATGTTTGCAGGGAAGGACAAATGTAAGCAAGCAGATGCAACATTTTTGAAGCTACATAGTAGAGGCCACTGTCCACTCTACCCCATCTCTTGTCAAAGCTGTAAGCTCCATCCCTCCTGGACAGGTGCATAGGAACCTGGCTGCCTGGGTGGCCTGGCATTAACATGTAGCTGCTGCAGACCCCAGGGTCCTCTAGCTCCCTCCTTGTTCCATTCTCCTGTGGGGTGTCGGCAGGAATCTCTTGGGCCTTTCCTAAGCATCCCATGTCCTCACAGACACTGAGGCAGGAGTGAGGTGTGCAGGGCAGGACAGAGGCAATGTCTCAGCATTGGAGAGAAAAGACTGGCAGGACCCTGGGCTATAGGAGTCACAGGGGCCGTAGCAAGTAAGTGCCATCTCCTTGCTCATACACTAGCATGGCAGGGCAGCTTCTGTCCCTGTGATGGGGCCTCATCAAACCTTTGCTTAAATAAATGAAGAACCCTACAGTTTCTCACTGTGCTGCTACTTCTGGGGGTTTGGCTACAAGTAAGACTATGGGAAAGTCCACCTGCATCCTAGTGCTCAGGGAGGCCTGGGAAGAGTCCTCGCCCTGGAAGCCTCACCCACAAAGCCATCAGCCCAGGGGCCTGCCTGTGTGTGGTCCAGCTCATGGGTGCTATGGGGTGGCCTCAGGTTTCAATCTGTAAAATGGGGCCATAAAGGACTTGCTTGCCTGGGCTGTCAACGAGGTTACTTTCAGCACCTGGCAGAGCAATGTTGGGAAACAGGAAGCTGCTGCTCTTGCAGTGGGCAGCAATGAGTATATGAGTTTCAGGCAGAGGCAGGGAACTAGGAACTTGCATGTGAGGGCTTTGCTAAACCCTCCTGGAAGATACCCATGGCCTGCATCCCACCTGAGGCCTTCTTAGGGTGGGGGTGGGATGGGACATGCATGCTGTGACTTCCAAGGACACTCCAAGTATGTCTCCCACGGGGTGGCAGCCAGCCTTGCCCATCACCCCAAACAACTGTGTCCTCATCTTGTCCAGTCACGATATCCGGAACTTGTGATGTGTGGGGGTGGGGGTGGGGGTGGAAGTGGGGATTCTTTTAAAACCTAAAGTTAATTATTTTTCTAATTTCATGCTGCATGCATTATGCATCAGCTGTTATCGCTGGCAGTAATGGTAATTGCAGACAGGTATGCAAATCCACTAAAAATGCATGGTGAGTTTGCCTAACCGCGTGGGCTGTCAGGGCGGTGCCAGTGCCAGGCGGCGGGAAGTCCTGAGCTTCAGAGACTGCAAATCACTTTAAAAATAAGATTTTAAAATTGTGTCTTAGGAGGTTAATTATATTGATAATAGTGTTCGATATTAAACTGTGCGGGGCCAGGAAGGGATAGAGGGATGAAAGGAGACACGTGTAATTTTGTTCCTTTCTCTCTTGGCATTATTTAATAAGATGTTTTTCCACCTAGTATTTCTGGCTCTGTCCATTGGTAGTAAAGTTGCCTAGAATGAGACTTAATTCCTTTTGGGAAGCAAAAGAGAAAGCCTTATGGGATTTCAGGGAGGAGATGAGGTGCCTAAGGGCTTTTCTTTTTGGGAGACACAGGGAGCTAGAAGAGGGAGGCAGGTGACAACAGGGCTAGTGACAGTCCCCAAGATTAGGCTGGGCCATGGCATCTGTGCTGCGGGACCTCTCTGTCACCAACAGGATCATGGGCCACGGCAAGGAGCCCAGAGAGAGAAAGAGCAGGGTGCATGGTGGCTAGTGACAATGGAGGAGGCACTGATCCAAAAAAAGGACTGGCACCATGCTGGGAGGAGAGGGTCTTCCCTGACATGTGTGAGGCCTGCTCTGCTCTAACTGGGACCTCTCCCATTTATCAGCACTTTCTTGCTCACCAGCTGATTGTGTGGCTCCCCCCATTAGGATGTAAACTTCTGCAGTCAGATGGTGGTGTGTTTGTGCACAGCAGGAAACCTGGCACAGTAGAAGCTCAGTCATCATTGGCTGAATGAATGAATGAGGCCCCAGAACCTGAGATCCATGGCCCAGCAGAGGCAAGAGGAAGGCTGGACCTTGGGCCTCTGGTTCTGGGAGGTCATCCTGAGTGGATGGATGCCTTGGCTACAACCACCTAAGGATGTAAAGTGACTGGTGTGAATCATGCCACAAGTGGTAAGATAGCTGGTACTCACTGTCAAGTGCTTTTCCCTCCCAGCTGCCCATGGGGTCCCCAGCCCAGGAGGAAGGCCTACTCACCCTAGTATGGGAGGTGGCCTCCAAGCATCTGAGGCTGGCCCTGCTTTCCTCTGACTGACCTTTACCCCTTCCTGCCCACCCCTCATGTACACACAGAGTGGAGTCTGCCCTACAGGATTTTAAATTGGATTTGAAAATGGGTCTGCTTTTTATTGATGAGGGCCCATCGTGTGGGGAGGGGCAGGCCCAGCAGAGAAAAAGCCCTCCCTGGCTTTGGCATTGAATTCTTAAACCCTTTCCAGGGGCTTGGTGGGAGAGTGATGGTGGGCAGTGTCCCATCTTAAGCAGGGCCTTGTGCTGGCTGATTTCTGCCCCCAGTAAGTCCATTGACCCTTTGCATTTATCAGGCCCTGGTGGGCTCAGGCCAGTTAGCATCAGCAGTACCTGGTAGTGTCCCCTTCCAGCTGGCCACAGCCCGTCAGGGCCTGTGGCCTCAGTGCCCAGAGAAAAGGTGCACTCAGAGAGGGGAAAGAACCACCTGAGGCCATACACTGTGGACCTACAGGTGTGTCTGCTCCCGAAACCCATTTTGTTCCCTTCTGCTTTTCTTTGGGTGCAGGGAAGCCTCAAAGCCTCCAAGCAGATTTCCCATCAGTCTTTTGGCAGCCTTTCCCCTCTGCTGAGTAATTACCCCTGGCCCCTCCTTGGGGCTGAAAAGAAGGGGACAAGTGCTGGGTGTCCAGGTAAAGATGCCAGGAGGAGGAGAAAGGAGGATGGCGGGGCATGGACCGAGCTCAGCTCAGTGCCTTGCAGCCTGCTGCCTGCCGGCTGGCGCGCCTTTATAATAAATAACAGCAAATAGCCCATCCACAGGGCATCTTTCACGCCGGTGGCTAATAACACGGCTATTAATGCCCCCGCAGACGGCGTGTGCGCTGCGCCGTGCTGACGGATGTCCCAGCCCTGGTGCAGTCATAAATCAGCTCCTCTCCTGGGGCAAAGCGCAAGAGAAGTGTCATTTTCCATCTTGGTAATGAATCGGGGCTTCCCTGCCCTGCCCAGGGCGCTGCTGGCTGCTCACTGCTTGGGGATTCCTGGGATTTGTGTTTATGGAGGGTTGGCCTCTTAGCCCCCAACCCCAGCCCAAGCAGGAGAGTGCTCGTGGCCTCCTGTGCCACCTTTGGGTCCTAACTGCCGTGTCTGGACTTCAGCAGGAAGGTGAAGCATATGATACCATGAACTACCAGGAGCAGGGTTACTGCTTGAGTTCACTTCACCCTGGGTGTGCATGGCCATAGCAGGGACAGGCTGGGGTAGAAAGGACTTGTGGGCTCCTTCCAGTTCAAGGGCAACCAGTGCCACGCCAGAAGCCCATGCTCCCAAAGTAAATGCCCAGACTTACATCAAGGTCTCAGTCCTACCTCCTTTGGCCAGAACTGATAACCCAGCAGTCAAGGCAGAAAGGGGCTTAGAAGAGACCCCCATATGCAATTCAGTCCAGAGGGGCCACCTAGTGTCTGCCTACATCTGATGGGGCCAACAGCATGGGTCTGCCAGGCAGCAAATGAGCCTGACCCTGCCTGGACCAGTGAGTGTTGTGCTTCATAAAATTGCATGGGGAGATGCTCTGAAACGGTTCTGTGGGGGACCAGCCTGGGACAGGGCCTTCAGAGCGTGGGACCCAGCCTTCCCCACTCCAAATGAGGAGCCTTCCATGGCCATTCCTTTCGCAGTGCCCCTTGGCCTTACCTCCTTGCTGCCACAGCGCTTGGGCTGCAGGATCCCACAGAGTGACTGCTCCTGAGGCCCTTGCTGATGTTGCTCCAAGGGACACCGTTGGCCCAGGCCACCCTCACATTCCTGCCCCTGTGGTCCTACAGGACAAAAGCTTCTTGGAGTGCAGACTACAGCCTGCACTGTATTCTGGCAGTGTGGGAGATGCTGGAGGCTCGAAGAGGCGGATCTTATGCTTTTCTCCTTTCTGGGCTGCCCTGTTCAGATGAGGCTGCAAGTCCCAGGCAGCATCCTTGGCTCCCTAGTCCATCTGGAGTGAGGGGCCTTCACTCTGGGTGCACAAGGACACCCTGTGCAACCCCAGGGGCCTGGGAGTGGGGCCCGAGGGTGTTCTGGCCCCTTGCTCCCAGGGCATGTCCCACGCCGTCCCAGGGAGGTGACCTCTCCCTGCTTGCCGCTTCCTTGGCCCTCTTTCAACTTTCCCCCTTTGTCTGTAGGCCCCCACTTCCTCTGAAAGGCCGCTGCGTGCCTTTTAACCCTCTTTTTCTTTACCAAGGTTTTTTTTTCCTCCTTTTTTTTAAAAAAAATTCCTTTAAGTCACTTGGCAGAATGGGCTTGGTGCAGAGAGCGTTCTTGCGTGACAGAGCTGAGAGGAAGCCACTCTCCAAAAAATCGGTATTCCTGCCACTCAGGCTGTGTCTCCGGGGGAAGGAGGGGGTCCATTACCCCGCTGAGGAGTTCAGATGTTCACCGAGGAGCTGTCAGGCCCCACACACCCGACTTCAGGAAGATGCTTTAGGGGCTGGGGCTCAGTCCCGCATGGCTGCTCCCGTTTGCAGAGGTTTTCTTGCTGGGAGCCAGGAGGGGGTTTATTCTTGCTTCACCTCTGGTCTTGCCTGTTCAAAGAGAAGGCCTCTTCTCCCCCACTCTCTATTTCCTCACCTGCCAAAGACAATACAAATGATTATGTGCAACAGAACTGAGGCCTGTAGTGGGACAGATGCTGTCAAGGCTTCCAGGGTTGGAGACGGAACCCAGGCCCCCACACATCCTAGGCAAGCACTTGACCACTGAGCAACATCTCACACCCACAGCCTGTTTTCTTAAATGCCACTTCCCTGCGTGCCTGGACCAGGGCTTAGATCACTGTTCCCCACCTCCTTTCTCTTTAGATCCAGATAACCTGAGCAGCTGCTTGTGTGAGGGGCCCTTCCTTACAGCTACCTGGTTTTCTTTTTCTTTGAAAATGGAAGGACTGGGAAGAGAAAGATGAAGTTTTGAAGCTCCTGACCCTGAAGGGCCACCAGCCTAGCCCAGCTTTGGCACCATTCCACCTTGCCTGCTAAATGACATTCAAGCTTCCAACTGGGCCACCATGGCCTAGGCCTTCAGAACAAGTAATGTTTTTCCAGTCATGGGAAGTAGGAGCACCATGGCCCCAGGAAGTTAGGTTTCCATGTTCCTGCCTACCCTCAGCAGCCACCCCATCTCTTAGGCAGGGTAGGTCCTCCCCACCTCCAGGCCCTCACATTCCATTCTTCAGAGGACTCCAGGGTGAGACAGGCTGTTCCCAGGAATCCAAAACACAACAGCTTTCCGCACATAATTCTCATTAGAGGTGGCTTGTGGAAGGCCAGGGCCCTGGTTTCCGCATCCCCCTGCAGGAGCCCCTCTTTGCAAAAGGGCTTTCATTACACATCTGAGAGTGTAGGCTCTGGTTTGAAATCAGATCCAGATGGGCTCGGCTGCATCTGGGCACTTTTCTTTGTAGGGCTGAAGGTGGCTGATTTAAGAAATGCTTGGTGTCTGGTGCTGTTAAAATGAAAATAAGGACATCTAGGGTGCATGATTAATAAGCCCAGCACCCAGGTAGGGGTGGCTACCCTGGGCTCATGGCTGGCAGTACCTATGTAGAGCAAGGTATGTGGCCAGGGAGATGCAGGGTGCAAAGGGTGAGGCAGGGGTTCTTAGTATCCCCAGGAAGAAAGAGGTCCAAGGTAGCAGGCCTGAATGGCCAGGATCTGGTCAGTATTGTACCTTCAGGTGCTGGCATGGAGGGCACAGCCCCTAGGGAGGCCAGGGAGAGGGCTGGACAGGAGGGAAGCTGAGGACAGTCCCTGCGTGAGGGGAAAGCAGTGAGCTCCAGCACAAGCCCTTATGGCTATTACCACCCGCGTGATTTCATCCAATTATAAATTGTAATTTCTCTATGAAAGCAAGAGATGGAAAGAGTCCAATGAGGTCATCTGTCTCTCTGGCCAGGGTGAGTAATTGTTTTATTCTGTCGGGGGCATGGTCAGGGTGGCTGGGCCCCCACATAGAGGGGCTGGTGGCCATGTCCCAGGGACCCCAGAACTCTAGCTGCCTCCCCGTGACACATGAACCATGCTTTGGGAATCACATATCCAGGAAGAAGGCAGGCCCACACCGGTGGCCCACACACGGCATGCAGGACACAGGCCACGTGGTTCAGCATCTCCAAGGTCCACAAGGCCTGGCCCCTGCTTCTCCATTAGGCTTCTGTCAAGCCCTTCTCTGTGCTGTTCCCTCCTATAAAAATCATCTCAAATGTCACCCTTCCTTCTCTATACCTAGCCACACAATTGCACAAACTGTAACGGCAATGACACAACATGATGAAAGGAATTCTTTCCCCACCTTGAAAGGAGTATCCAAGGCTGGACTCTCTTGCACCTGGCTTAGTGCCATTGCACACAGTAGGTACTTAATAAATGCACCCAGTGAACTCATTTTACTTCCTCATTTGGGAAACCTCCTTGTGGGCCTGTCCAGCTTTGTACAGGCTTTGGCCTTCCCTAAGTCTTGCAGTCTGCTGGAGACAGTGCTGTGCCAATACTGGGCTCCTGGGTATCTCTGCTGTGGGTGGGAGTGACCTTGGAGCATTGGCAGTGGTACTAGCTTTCCAAGTGAGCCCCGCTGGCGGTGGTTGCGAGTGTGCTCTGGACAGCACCATGGCTCGTCGCGCGTGGGGGTGCATAATGATGATCATTAGTAGCCACCTGCATTCACTGAACCAAACGTGGCTCAGGAATTCATATGGACATGGGCCCACTTGGCGTGCTACCACCAGCCCAGCCTCTGAAGCAGGCATACTACTACATGGTGGGGCCCCCAGCACACAAAGTTAGAGCTTAGCCAAAGACACAGGGACTCTGGCACCCTGGGGACCAGTCACAGCAGCCCTCATAGCTCCTGCAGGGCACTTGCTCCAAGTACTTCTGCCCTGAGTCTGTCCACTCAGCCTGCTCTGTGAGCCCCTTGCCCAGCTCTGCCCTGTCCCCCAGTCTCTAAGTCTGGCCTCTACCCCAAAGAATCATTTTTTGAGTCCATATGGCCAAAGCTTTCCTTTGTTATTTCTTTCAGATGCTCATCTAATTTTACTTTTTTAAAAAAATTATTTATTCATTTGGTACAGGGTCTCACTACGCAGCTCAGACTGTTAGTGAACCTCCTGTCTTAGCCTCCCCAGTGCTGGAATTACATGCATGCACCACAACGCCCAGTGTCAGTGGCCTGTGGGGCTGACATGGCATGCAGTATCGGGGATTGAACCCATGTCTTTATGCTTGCCAGGCAGGTGCTTAGATTGCCAAACTATCTCCCCAGCCCTACTTTTTTTTTTTTAAAAACAATATCTAGTTATTAGACTTCAATCTAGTGAAATCTGAAAAGGAAGAGTGAGCCAAGCACAACCCCCATACCTGTACGTATCTGCTCTCTACCCAGGAACCACATACCTTATCCTTTTCCTGGATTCTCACTTTGCCATTTTTCCTGAGCCTGGGAGAGCCCAATACAGCTGGTGGGGTGTGGATGTCCACCCTACTGTGCAGGCTGAGAATGTGGGGCAGGACTTGTCTGAAGTCACATAACCTGCAGGACAGCCAGGACCTCAAATTCCAGGCCAGTTCCCTTCTCCCTGTACTATGCCAAGACTTTTGCAAAAGAAGTGCACCACCAAACAAACACTGCCCTGTGTGTCTCCTGCCTTCTCATGCATCTATGTCTCTCCATACCCACCATTTCTCCACCTATATGCTCATCCGTCCATCCTTCTCTCAGTCTCTCTCTTCCATCCATCCATCCATCCATCCATCCATGCATCCATACATACATCTCGACCCATCTCTCTCCTCCTCTCAAGCAACTTCCCACTGAGCAAACATATATGAGTCCCATCATGCTTCAGGACTAGACAAGACTTTGGGAATCCAAAGAGGACCCCTCACCAAAAGCTGAAGAGTCGGGGGAAGGAAGGGAGAGGAAGGAGATACAAAAAGAATGGAGATGTGTTATGAACCAACTCCCCACACTGAACATAATCGCTATGTACCACAAATGTGTACTAATAATTTTTTTAATTTAAAAAGAGAACCCCATGGGCCAGCGAGATGGCTCAGTGGACGAAAGCGCCTGCTTAGGCAAGCTTAGGCAAGTGCAGGGGCCAAGATTCGATCCCTGGCACCACATGCCAAGTCAGCCCCACCCCCAGGGCATCCTGAGCCAGCCACAGAGTCCAGGCATAATGGTATATGCCTGTAATCCCAGTGGAGGCTGAAAACAGGAGGATCACTATGAGTCCAAGCTGGGTAGGGAGACCTTGCAACAACCAAATACATTAAAAAGAGAACCCCTGGTGCTCTGGGAACTCACAGTCTTGTCAGGGAGGGCTACTGGTGAGAAGGCCTCAGCACAGGTAATGACCAAGAGAAGAGCCCACCTTGTCCAACCTGGGAGAGGGATGGACCCATGGGCTTTCTGGGGAAGATGACCGTGTGCTATGGTTCTGGGGTCCTGTAGACCTGTGATGGTCATACATAATATGTGAAATTAAAGTGGAGTAGGTGTGGCCCATCCCCCCTTTGACCAGCCATTGGTCTTCCAGAGCCACTGCCCACCTTTGGTTCTCAGTGTCCCCACCCCACCCTAAGTTGAACCGGTCTTTAGCTTTACAGTTCTCAGCTGCTTAGAAAATGGTGCCTGCTGGTATTAATTCCTATATTAGCAATTAGCCCTCCTGTTTCATCCAACCTATGGCTCTCAGGGATAGGTTTTATGTGCATGTCATTAATCAGATGCCTGGTGTGTGCTTCTGGAAACCCAGGTGGGCTTTATGGCTGGTGACTTCACTGAGTGGCATTTGAAATGAACAACATGCCCCCTCTGTGGGCAGCACTGCCCTGTGGCAAAGAGGGCAGAGTTTGAATCATTACAAGCAGGTCACAGCAGTGCGAGCTGGGGGCCAGGGTTTACTTTCATTTCAGACTTTCAGGCTAAGGTCAGAGGCAGAATGTGACCTTTACAGATGAAAGGCTCTTTGTGATCAACCCCCAAGTTTGTTCCCTAGTTGCTGGCTAGGTAGCAGAACCTGCGGCCCCTCCAAGTCAACCCCTTCTGTGCACACCATGCCTAGCTCTCACTGTTCCCTCCTTGTACCCAGAGACCCTGGCTCTTTGTGATCAACCCCCAAGTTTGTTTCCCTACCACATGGCCAGCCACAGGGTCTATTATTTCTCTCCTGTCATCCAGAGTGG